CTGAGCGACAGGGAGCTCGCCCAAAAGCTCACGCAGCCAAGCCAAAATGTGGCTAAAACATGATCGAGACTCAAAGGCAGGGAGGTCGCTCTGTCCAGAGTCCCTTTCCTTCTCACCCCATTTCTCTGGCTGGCTTTTCTCCTACCTCGCCGCTCCCCCGCTGCTTGCCCATCCGCTTCTCCTTCCCGTTCCTGCGAGGCCTGCAAGAAGAGAGCGAGAGCAGCTGTAAGCCAACAGAGGCGGAGGAGGCGTCCCGCAGCTTGAACGTCTGCTACCCCCAGCATCCTGCAGAAGCCTGCAACTTTCCTCGTTCCCTGTGGGCAATACCTCTGGCCAGCTTCACCAAATTGCCTCTGATGAGTAATCATAAAAGCAAGAAACCTGGACCTTGCTCCCAGAGCAGGGGCCCAGGAAATCGCACCATCCCAAGCCCCCGAGGCTCACAAATCCCAGGGTGTACCACTTACTGGTGGAGCCCAAGGCATAGACATTTTCTCTGTCAAAATTGTCTTACCTTTGCCTCGTAATGCTGACCTCGTTTTCTTCCCTCCTAGTCAGCTCACTCCTCATCTGCCATCTTGTCTGCTTGTCCTTCCAGAGGTGATGTGCACTGACCCCCAAAGAGGACCTGCTTTGCAGGATTCGGGGCTGGAGCCTCAGGTGGCCTGTCCAATCTCCGACACTTGACTCCCAGAGAGCCAAGTCAAGCGATGTCTGCCACTAATCCCTTTTCAGCAAGGGATTCAGCCTCCTGGGTGACCAGCTCGGAGGCGCTCAGCATGCAGTGGTTACAAGGGAACCACTGCTGAAATGAAAGTGGGGCAGCAGGTGGGGAAAACTCAGAGATGAAATGACAGGAGAGGAAAGGAGAAACAGCGCAGCGGGGAGGGATGAACTTGGAGGTGAAAGGCACCAGGCACCAAGGTGGCTGGCACAGCAATTTTATTAGTCCATTAAATAGCAGGCAGATCATGCCTGCTTTTGTGTTGTCTTCTCTGCTTCTTTTTTGGCGGCAACCAATGTGCCCTGCTCCCCGACGGCTTTGAGAAGGCACAAGCCCCCTCAAGTGCCCGTCAGTGCTTGACCGCCCATAGAGCTAGGCAGCACCACACCATAGCTCAGGCTTGGGGGTGTGCCAGACTGTCAGTGCTTGACCCTTTTGCGAGCAGGGCAGCACCACACCACAGCTCGGCAAGATGACCCTGAGAGCAGACAGCGGAGACCTCCCGGCCCTTGCCTGCTGCAGCCCCAAATGACACCTTAAGAAGGGGCCGCAGGCAGAGCCCTCTGGACCTTGCCTGCTGCCCCACCCTAAAGGCACCTTAAGAAAGAAACTCCAGAGGCTCGGACCTGACCCGCCGCCGACCCTAATGGCACCTTAAGGGAGCACAGTGGAGGCCTACGGACCTTACCACTGCCCACCCCAAAGACACCTTAAGGGAGGACTGCAGGGGCCCTCCGGCCCTCCCCGCTGCTAACCCAAATGATGCCTTAAGAGGGGACCGTGGGCAGAGACAAACCAACCCTGCCCACTGCCCCCCAAATGACACCTTAAGGGCGCACCAGAAATGGCTACGGACCTGAGCCTCCGCCGCCCCCCGAATGACGCCTTAAGGGAAACATCACGGCCGAGGCCCCGGGACCTCGCCCGCTGCCCCCGAATGACGCCTTAAGGGAAGGAACGGACACATGCAAGCCCGACCGCTGCCCACACCTAGGGTCACCAGTGCTTGACAAGGACTACGAGTCACGCAGCACCCACGTGGCTCGGGACGTCACTCTCCACAGCCTGACACACCCCCGGGCCTGCAGAGAGGCCGTAGGTCCCCAACAACAGGCCAAGTGCTGCCCCCCCCCCGCCTACTCCGGCACAGAGGCTGTAGGAAGCTCCGCCTCACCTTCTCCAGGCGCGGCCTCTTCGGGGCGCTTCTGGGGTTACCGCTCCCCCCCGCTGGCCAGCTCTACCAGCTCTTCTCAGCCCGGCTCCCCTGCTATGGCAGGGATCTGCCGCTCCCGTCTCTTCAGGGCGCTTCTGGGGTTACCGCTCCCCCCCCACTGGCTAGCTCTACCAGCTCTTCTCTGCCCTCCGCCGTCGTCCGTCGCCGATACAGCAAGTGCGCTCGGCACGCGGCCTTTTATCCCTGCTGGAGACCCCGCCCCCGAGGGGGGACCAATAGGAAAGCTCGGGGGGGTCAGTCCCCCTCAGCGCCGCTTTGTCACCTTGTCTCCACGGCAGGGCCGGCAAATCTTCCTCCTGCCGTCTCCTGATTGGCGGGGAGGGAAATGCCTGCGCCAATCGGCGTGCGCCATCCATCTCAAGCCGCCTAGCCCGCCGCCACGTGCGCCTTTCCGCTGGGCAGGTGTTCGAGCGTGTGGGGTCACCACACACTTTGCGTCTCACCTCACCGTTTTCCACAGAAGTGTCACCATATTTCCACAGAGCGGGGAGCAATAATCCAGTTTCTCACAGAACACCCGCGCAGTGCCGCGTCCCTGCCGCAGGGCGGTGGTGCCTTACGGCTGCGGGGGCAGGGCTCGTGGCGGAGCTGGCGAGGCGAGCCCTCGTGCGGGCGGGATGGTTCGTGTGGAGAGAGCAGGGGGTGGACTAGATGACCCCGAGCGGGACCGCTTCCCTTCAGCCCACTCCGGGACTGACGCGGAGGAGAACGCGGGAACGGGCTGAGGAGAGGACCGGGCTGTCCCCGAGGTCGGCGGGGATCTAGTCACCACCGCGCTTCCCGCCCAGCTTGGCCCCACCTCCTTCCCTGCTCCTCCGCCCGCCAAAGCCACCGTCC